TTAAAAACTAAAATAAAAATGTAGAGTAGACTGAATGCACTCCATTACCTCTCCATCGTACATTTCTCTCCTCAAATTGCATTAACCAGCCTCCCCTCTCCTTTGTGTTCTCTTCAGTAAAGCTGTTTAATGAGTGTGTGAGGTTAACAGCCACAGCCAAGCATCCACGGGGACCGTTCCCCTGACAGAACCTGTAAGGCTGAATCCATCTTTTCCTTTTGAGTTTCTTCCAAACTTGCTGCGGTAGCTGAAAGTTAGTGAAGATGGCACTTCGCTGCACTGAAATACTTGTTCAGATGCCTCAGGTTCCATGGGTTATGGTTCATGGACCAAAGCTGCAGGTGAGGCAAACGAACACCTGGAGGAACCTGTGTTCAGGATGTGGCAGTGACCACGCTCAGAGCGCTCAGGCTCACATCCCTTGTCTAAGCGGCTTCTCATTCATTGAGCTGAGCGTTGGACAGCCTGCAGGGAAGACAGACGCGAACCGAGGCTCACGCTGACTCCCGACTGTTCGGGACCCGGCTTCAGTTCTCCTCTCCCTCCAGAGACCTTGGGGCAGCAGGGCTCATAAGCTGCTGCATGAGAACAGGGACAGCTCTTACTGCTGGAGTCAGACTCAGAGCGTGTGTGTGTCTGTGTGTGTGTGTGTGTGTGTGTGTGTGGATTTTTAGCACAATTGGGAGACATCTGAGGTGCTGCTGGCTCTGCTCTGTCTGGTATCTGTTTTAAGCATGGAACCATGTCCTTGTCATCTTCATTTCATTGCTTACATCTGCTACTTGTTCAGGGAAAGCACAAATTCACTTTTCTCCTTCTGTTAAAGAAATAATTTTAGCTGCTCATGCCTGTAATCCCAGTACTTTAGGAGGCCGAGGTGGGCAGATCACTTGAGCCCAGGAGGCTGAGACCAGCCTGGACCACATAGCGAAAGCCCATACAGAAAATACAAAAATTAGCTGGGCATGGTGATGCACGCTTTTGGTCCAAGATACTCGGGAGGCTGAGGTAGGAGGATCACTTGAGTTGAGGAGGTTGAGGTTGGAGTGAACTGGGATAGTGCCACTGCACCCCAGTAACAACAGGGCAACAGGGGGAAAAATAAGAATAAAAAACTTAGCTGGGCATTGATGGTGCATGCCTATAGTCCCAGCTACTTGGGAGGCTGAGGTGGGAGGATCACTTGAGCCCATGAGGTCGAGGCTGCAGTGAGCTATGATCATGCCATTGAATTCCAGCCTGGGTAACAGAGCAAGATCCTATTTTCTTTTTTGTTTAAATTTGTTTTCTCACTATCTGAAGACCAAGCAGCGTGATGTATCCCAGCTTGATGTCTGGGTGTGACAAGTGTCTGAATTTTCTTTTTCCACGTGGGCTTCAGGGATGGCTCTGATGCTCCCTCACGGGCTGTCCACGGCCTCCCTTCCCACCTCAGAATGCCCTGGCTGGGCGCACGGCACGTTCCTTCTGAATGTGGGTGGGTGTCATGCCGAACCTTGTCAACTCCACGGGAAGGCACAAGTTTTAAGAGGCCGAAGAAGAGACCCAGAGCCAGCGAATGAGACATGGGGTTCTGTTGGGGGCTTGCATACAGGGGAATGTCCAGTGGCAGCGGGCTGAGCAGGAGAACCGCAATGGCTTTCAAAAGGCGTGCAGTTGATATGGCAATAGCATGTCCACTTGGCACCTCCCCCGACAATCTCCACCTGGCAGCCTCCACATACCCCAAAACAAACAGCCCTGATCCCCTGTGCATGCAGTGGCGGGGGCGGGGCAAAAAAGCTGCTCAGATGTTCCTCATAGATAAGGAATGAATCTCCAGTTGGCTTCTCCTGGATTCCTTAGCTTGGAACCCTGAACCCCATGCGGGTGCCTCTGCCATACAGGGCCATTCCCAGCGTGTGCCTAAGTGATTGCTGTCAGGTGCATCTACCATACAGAGGGATGGGACCATTTCAGTCCCCGTTAGGCCTCTCCAGTTCCAGCTCCC